TGATGAAATGAAAAACCCAGTAAAAAGCCCCAGGACTGGTGAACAGCACCAGACAAGAATGGGACAACACTCCTTCCAGCAGCTGGTCCACTCAGTTCCTTGATGTTTACAGATGTTGTTAAAAGAAGAGGGGATGCTGCACTTTGGGAAACGGACCTGTCCCAAATCTCTTCATGCGTTGCTGCCATGAGACTCTAAACCACATAATTAGTTTTTTTAAATGTCTTAGTTTAAAACATTTGATGTCTATATGCTCCACCGTGAATAAAATATAAGTTTACGAGACTGACAAATGTCATTTTGTGTCCAATGCGCCAGTCTTTTGGATCTGAGTGAGTAATTAAAGCCCTTACGTGTGTTAGTCTTTCTCTGTCCGTCTGCCACTCGTCCTACCGCCTGAACACACTCTGGATCTGTAGTCCGAGCTCACTGACAGATGTTCTGCTCCCCCCAACAACACCAAGCACTAAACGTGGACTGTGTGAATGCGTGGCTACGCACTGAAACTGAGCTATTAATGGAAACCCTGGAGCCCAAAAAAGCTAACAAGCCGAGAATAACAAAGCTCTCTTGAAGGCTGGAAATAGACACACTTGCTCCAGTGAGTTCCTCGTTTGGCTCCCTGCGCTTTATAAATACAGTAGCTCTGCGTTTCTGGGGACACACTAAAAGGAGAGAGCACTCTGTGAACGCAGAGGGATTTAATAAATTGCGAGGTTTACAGCATGAATGGAATATATAAATATCACAGCCGAGGAGCAGCTCTTGTGGAACAACATTGTGCCTGTTGTCATCTCGCTCTCGCTCCCTGAGGAGTCGTTCACAGCTTGTTCCAAAAGAGTTGCGGCGTTTTTTACTTTTTTTTTTTTTTTTAACGTTTCACACAAATCTGTAGTGGCCCTTTGTATGCTCTGAGGTGTGCTCCTGTGTGCTCGCGGTGCACATTTACAACTGGATTTAACACTTGACTCATTTGTCAACAAGAAGAAAACCTCGGCACTGCAGGTTGCGTGCGCTGTTTAGCTGGATTTGTCTTCTGTGCAGCACTTGGACGTGTTTTTAAGGTTGCTATATAAGTAAAACCCGAAACATTTTGGAGCTGCTCCGTAAAGCTGCATGTGAGCGCACTCTACTCTGGATTTATTGCACATTGTCCATCCAGCGCTCTAAGAAAATCTCAGCATCTGAGACACACCGTACATGCAGAATATCAGTCGTCCCAAGTTTTTACTGCAGGTGTGTGAATCTGCTCCTACGTGTTGATTCCCAGCTGTTAATCATCATCTGTGGCGTTAATATCAGCACAAAAACGCTCGCCAGGGAGCTTTAGCTGCCATTTTTGACATGCAGCAAACAAAGCAAGGCATTTTCCTCCGAGCGTTCCTTGTGTGCAGAAGACAGACACTCCCTGGTCGCCCCTCCCTTCTGCTTCTAGCTGTCTGATAAAAAAATGCATCCTGCAGCAAATGGAAAAAAACTGTCAAACGCAACATCTAAGTCCAGACTGAGGTGTCCACACATCTCCCCAACATTCCCTGTACCTCAGGTTAATGAGTTTTAACATAAATAAACATCTGCATTTGAAAAGCTTCACAATGAAGACCTAAACTATGGTGCTTTTATTTCATCAGTGTCCTATCAGCTTTGAAACAGATGAATGTTTTGATAGCGACGGATGTTCGACTCTGTTTATGGCGTTTCATTCAGGATCGGGTTACTTTTCGACAGCTGAATCTGTGCTCTCTAGTATTTCACTATTTTCATTCTTTCTTGCGTGCCTGGTTGTCGTTTCCTCAGCTCCTCGTATCTGTGCCCCATCTGCTCATCAGCTCACGTGGTCTTCATCCAGGAGTTCATTTTCAGACCCAGTTTTCCACCTCGTCGCCGTTACCTGCCGGTTGTTTTGTTCTGTGCTCCCTCGTGCTGCGTTTTCCCCTTCAGAGTTTATTTTTGTATTTTCCTTGTGCTGCTTGAGTTCAGGCTTTTTGGTTAATAAAATATTGTTTATTTAATTATTTTTTTATTTACCTTAGCCCTGTATCCAACCTCCTAAGTCTGCATCCTGGCTCCTTAAGTAAAAGTAAAGTGCTATGTGTTGTCATCATTGTATGTTCCCATACAATGGTGACATTAGTTCTCTGCATTTAACCCATCCCATCTGGGATACACCCAGGTGGAGCAGTGGGCAGCTATGCAAGCACCCGGGGAGCAGTTAGGGATTGGGTGTTGCTCAGAGACACCATGACATGTGGACATGGTGGGGAGTCGAACCGTGACTTTCTGGTCCCAAGTCAGGTGCCCTACCTCTACACCATCTCGGCCCCTGGAAAGTTGAAGGTTTCACACCAACATCAACCTTAAGATCCAACATGGCTGCTGCCACATAGGCCTACACGCTAAACGTTCAAAGCTGTGGTCATAAACTATTTATTTACACTTCTGTCAATTTGCATCTTATTAAATCAGTCGCACACAGTGTACTTCAACTTGTCTTAGTGAACACAATGCTACAGTGTTTTAACAATGTAGCTTGTTTTGCTAACAACGGTTAGTCTTGTCACGGAGCTAAACGTTCAGGAAATTCAACAATTTTCCAGCTGCAGCTACGTTGAATGTGGCACATTCCCAAATTTGAGTATGACTGATGTAAATGTGTTATTGTAGCTCGATGCTATAATTATCTGAAGCTAGTATTCATAATGAAAAATAACCAAAAAGACGTTTCTGTCCCTTCGGTGGACATTTCAAATGCACGTGCAACATTAGTTTGGTTGCAAAAAGTAAAAGCTTTGTGGTTAGTTATAGTTCGAGTGAACATTTGCCCACGCTGCGGTCAGATAGTCTGAACCTCCTCTCGGACCGCAGGCTAATATCTGTTCCTGGCACAGTTTCAAGAGTGTGGCTTCTCTTTCAGCCATTGTTGCATTTTTTCTGCCTTTTATTTTTCCTGGAGTAGGCCCAACAGAAACCGGAGCACGGTTCCGCTGTGGCAGCACGGATGTATGGACGTTTGGATTTGTAAAAACTTAGCTAATATGTTAACATAACAGAGGAAATGTTAACAGCTCACAGTTTGACCCAAAGGTTGGAAATAAAAGCAACAAGGCCAATAAGATGTTTTGCAGTTTGCACGTCCCATCTGCAAAAAATACATTTTTTGTTATAATAATTAAAAAAAGTACTTTTTGTCTGGGCTGAGCATATGAAATAAAAGAACCCTCTTCCTTAAAGAGATAGACGTGAGAAAAAAGAGCCCGCTCCTCAGGGTGAAGACAAGGCGACGGCAGACAGGCGGCAGACATCACACTGCCATCCTGTCTAAAAAATGTTCCTCATCTTCAACAGGAAGGAAGTCATTTCTGAAAGCGCCTGCACCAGGGGAGTAAGTCAGGGTGATAAAAAGTGGGAAAAAATAGCCAGAAAGAAACAAGAAGTTGTGTCTGGCCGATTCAAAGAGGATGAGTGTTTTACCTTTTAAGGCTGTGACCAGCTACTGTTCCTGTTGGTTTGTTTCTCTGCTGCTTGAGAATGGAAAATATGAATATGTGAACCAGAGGGGAAGTAAATTTAAGAAAAAAGCACTTTAAGAAACTGATGGCTTAAACAGCTTGTGTCAGCTTTGGAGCACTTTTAGCTGAATGGCACTTTGGGTTGGTGCAGGAGTCTTGGTTGAGGGTCTTGTAAGGTTGGCACCTTTCTGGGAGTCACTTTGAGGAAACTTGTCTCCAAATTATGGTTCAACTCCAGCACCGAGACAAAAAAAAGCCCAGCGGTGTCCCGAAAAATAAAATGCGTCATCATAAAAACACAATACTGCGACTGCTTCCATCAACGAGGGGACGTGTTTGGAATTTTTCAGGTGCTCTAACTCCAAAAGTTAGCGGCAAACGAGTCAGGCCAGCGTTAAATATTTAAAGAACGCAGGGCTAAATAATAGATGAAATGACGAGTTGGTCAAACACTCACTGTTTGTCAGCCTTCTCCCTGTCATCTAAGAAAAACAGTGCCGTGGCCAGGAAAAACATGCCCCCCAGGACGATGATGAAGGGACACAGCATGAGGGCATAGCCCAAACTGAGGAACTGCCAGAGCGCTGAGGTCGCGAAGCTCTTCTGAAGTCCATCGGAGATCTGCAGCCAGGCCAGGACAAACACACGCACACGTATCACCACACACACACACACACACACACACACACACACAGGAAGGAGAAAAGGGAGAGTCGATTTAAAATAAGTACATTTTGTGAAGGGTGCCAGCGACGGCCTGAAATCCCGACATACGTCAAATACAGTTTATAAAGCTCAATAGTAGTTTAGGACTTTCTTTTACAATAATCTACAAAGTCAACGTGCAGATGTTTCAGTGTTGTGCAAGAAGTACGCTGGTGAAGATGCTCAGTCTTCCAGGACATGGTAAATTCAAAAAAGTTCAACATGTTCACATTTTAGACAAAGAAGAAGACAGATGGCTTGAGAGGGGAGTGAAGGAAGCCATTTACGTAAAACAAGAGAAACCATCTTTAAACAGAGGAGGAGGTCTCAGATTTCAACTATAATGGGCGGCACGGTGGCGTAACTGGTAGAGCTGCTGCCTCTCAGCGAGCAGGACCCCGGTTCAAATCCCGGTCCGGAGGCCTTTCTGGGTGGAGTTTGCATGTTCTCTCCGTGCATGCGTGGGTTTTCTCCGGGTACTACGGTTTCCTCCCACAGACCAAAAACATGCATGTTAGGCTGATTGGTAACTCTAAATTGTCCCTGGGTGTGAGTGAGAGAGTGAATGGTTGTTTGTTTCATTTGTCTCTATGCGTCCCTGTGATGGACTGGAGACCTGTCCAGGGTGTACCCCGTCCCTCACACAGTGATTGCTGGACATGGGCACCGGCGACCCCCGTGACCCAAAATGGAAGAAGCAGGTAAAGATAATGGATGGATGAAAACTAATAATACAGCTTTAGGCCTGATACCCAGCCAGTTTCACTCCTATCAGGAATTTCATCCATGTGACCAGAGTGGCTCCTCTGTGAGTCAGACTAATGAACCCTACTGTGAGGAGTGATAAGGCAATCTGCACATATACTGTATCTAGCTTCCCTCAGCTTTACAACTTGAACCCCGCACTCTGCTCTTTGAATTGAGAAAGCTCCTCGGATGAGAAGCGAAACGTCTTCTGTTACAAATAAAGTCCAGTTGTTTTTGTCTTGAACTTTTATGAATGTACAATAAGTGTAAAAAGAACCAAAAACAAAAGAACAAAAAAGCTTGTAACTGTGCAAATATTACATTACATTTGGAAAAATAAAACCTGGGCCATGTCAGAAGTGTCTAGTTGTCAATTTCTATGTCCTCTGTCCTCTTTTTTTATTCGTAAGACGCTGTAATACAAGTTAGATAGACCGCTTGGCTACAATGGAAGTCAGTGGGAGTTTGGATGTGTTCACTCTGTGGGCTCCCCAGCAATGAGCAACAGAATGAATTGATGCATGAACATCATCAGAAAGGTAAATACTGTGGGAATAAGCACGCTTGTTTGAAAAGACTCTGGGATGTTTAGACAGCGGAAAAGTTGAACATTCTGTGGTAAAACCCTTGAAAATTACAAAAGCTAAACTGTGACTGTGTAAAACTGTGAAGGATATCGAAATATCAGTTCATGTAAACTCCAACTTTCTGCGGTCGTTCAAACTTAATGCAATGTTTCTACTGTGGAGATGGAGCTGTAGAGAGCTGGCTTTACTTGTTCCTTTTCCACCATCCCAATGTTGTGTGCGTTAAAGAAAGAAGCAGTTCTTGTCCACACTGTTTGATGTGCTTCTCACAAAAGTTATAGCACACTGTTCCTGATGGACCTGCACATTCTGATGTCTTTACTGCAGTGGTGGACCGTCAGGGCCAGCTGAACCTTCTCTGATGGCCGAATCACTAACTTACATATTATATATTTTCTGTTTATTAATGTTATTATTATTCTGAAACGTCTGTTGTCTTCATTTTATAGCTTTTCTCCTGGTTGTGCAGTTTACAGGGCAGTAACTAAGTGTGGGGAGTGGTGGCGCAGAGGTTAGAGAAAGTGGTCCTGTGATCTAAGGTTGCCAGCTCGACTCCCCGGACCAACAACAGCAAAATGTGAGTGGGAAAGGTGACACACCCACAGCTGCCTCCACCCTTAATTGTCCCGCTCTGGGCCCTTGAGCAAGGCCCTTAACCCCCACCATCTGCTCTCAAACAGGTCTCTTGAAAATGACTCAGTGAGACTAACCTGGATAAATAAAGGTTGAACGAATCAGATGTTGAGTTGGCACTGCCAGGACCTTCCAGCAGGCATTAGAAAACAGCATTTTGACATTGTTTGATTGGACGGTCAGAGAGCGGACTGGTTGGATCAAGGACACTGCATCTGTAGCGTCTTGTTCAAGCTAAATGTCGAGCGGACACTCTCAGCCCCAGAGCGAATCAAAACTTGTGCCAGAAACACGACAAAGCAGACTCGACGTTCAGCGTTAGCGTCCATGGTGATAGAAAAGGACCTACTGTTGAAATGGAAACACCATGAAGACCTGCAGGACAGAGGAACTGAACTGATAATCAAAACTTTAGGTGAGCAAAATGCATTTTATTCAAACATTTTATATTTTGTATGGGGGGAGTGGCGGCGCAGAGGTTAGAGAGGTGGGCCTGCGATCCGAAAATCGCCGGTTCACGCCCCGGCCCTGACAACATCAAAATTGTGGGTGGGGTAGGTGAAACACCCACACTTACCCCCACCCTCATTCGCCCCACCCTGGGCCCATGAGCAAGGCCCTCAACCCCCACCATGTGCTCCCTAAACAGGTCTCTCTTGAAAATGAGTTCTTGTGGCTCAATGAGACTACCTGGATAAATAAAGGCTAAATGAAAAAAAAAAAATTAGTCCATTTATTACGTCCATATTGATGTTTTTAGTAATGACTTTCATTCTTGCTACGTGACATACCTGTCTGTGGTGCAGCACCTTATTATTCTGCATTTCTTTTGTTTTCTGTTTTTTTTTTTGCTGTATGTTGTCATTGTATTTTTCTACACAATGATGAAATTAGTTCTCTGCATGTAACTCATCACACCTGAGATACACCCAGGTGAAACAGCGGGCAGCTATGTGTAAGCACCCAGGGAGCAGTTAGGGATTTGGTGTCTTGCTCAAGGACACCACGACATGTGGGCATAGCAGGAAGTTGAACTTGCAACTGTCTGGTCCCAAGTCGGCTGCCCTACCTCTACACCACAGCAGCCCCACCACACAAAGAGCATTCAGGAGAAGGATGGATTACAGAGATGCTATGCAGAGCTAAGCAAAGGTAAGCACCACCTGGTGACATCACCAAATCATTTCTGAGTATTACTGATGGTTCCCGTAGCTGTGGAGTGATAATGAATATATAACGAGGTGGCTAAACTCAGGCAGGACACCGTTGAAGCCCTGGGTGTAACATGCACGGCCCGCCACTGTTTTTGTGTTTTTAAAAACTGTAAGATCAGTGGTGAACAGAAAACTCATTATGGAAGAAGAAAACTAACACGCGACCAGTAACGATGGTGTTTTATGTATTTGACACATTTAGTAATGACTCAGTTTTTAAAATTGTCTGGATTAGACAGCAACAGATAGATAACTTTTAGCTCATCTCTGCTTTTACTTTTTTCCTAATTAGGTCATTGTTTGGCAGCTAATAGGTCGTCGTGGGTTGGGATCATTCGAGGGAGAGGGGACCATCCCTGCCACAGTGTCCCCCATACGTTTCCAAATTGATACTTTGGTGCACCAAAAACTGCAAACCAGCAGATGCTCATGGGGAGGACTTTAGACAGACTGCTCATGGGTAAACAAGAGGGCAGCTTCTTGTTTGTGTGAGTCTAACAGCCGTAGGTCGAGCCGGCTGAAGGATGTTGATTTCATGTTCGCGTAAGCAGAATGAGACTCTCTACGGGGGGAGCAGCAGAATCGCTGACAGAGAAATGTTGGAGGGGGTGAACTTGTGTGGAGAATATGTGCCTGAAAGTGCAAGGTGAGTGCATGCACAACACGAAGGGAGAAAAGAAAACGTGCAGCAAAAAGCGCTGCACATTTGGGCAGCTGTACGTGGTCCGTCCAAAACCCGTTTCATACGGTAATTTCCCTGACTCGCCCAGAGCAGCACGGCTAAAAATATGCAGAGAACTGCTGCTTGTCTAATTATCGTGCCAGAAGGCATTTCTTGGATGATTGCTGAGAGATTGTTCCTGGTATTCTTCTGCAACCAGAATAGGAGCTCATTAAGAGTTTCTCGGTGGGTTTTTGACTGACAACTGTGTCTACGTGCTGATGGAGACAAATTTTGGCTCAAGTTTGGGAGAATGTCAGGTTTTGTTTTACATAACAGGAGGTGTTGAATTTCTAGAGGCCTTCCCACAAACAGCAGCTACGATAAACTAGAACTCCCACACTGGCTCGTTGTGTTAAATACATCACCCTCAGCTCTGTTTGGCGCACAAGTCAAAAATCCAAATGTGAACAATAAAGACTGACTCACTCACTTTCCTCCTGTGGTTATTTTGCTGCTAGCTTGTTGTTTTTCTTGACATTCCTTATTTTTTGTTGCTAGATGACAGTATTTCTGCCAATCTGCCTGGGCGACCTCATATCTTCCCCCGCTCAACGTGCGTCACGACTGGTCCATCGCACTTGTGTGCTAAACCTCAGTCCAGTAACCGAGGCAGTGAGTGGTGACGCACCCTGAGCGTTCTGCACGCCGTCGGTCGGCGGAGGAGAGGAGTGCAAAACCCCCAGACATTCAGTGTGTCACTCAGAGAGTCGTGACCCCCGAGGCTGAGTGGAGTAGATCAGAGAGGGCTGTGGGTCCATGGACCACTGAGTCACAGTGGTAGAGGGTCACTGTGTGTTTAGAGGCTGCTTTAATTTGACAGACTGTTGTTGTATCATCTTTATGAACAATAATAGACATTATAGTTTAAGTTTGTAACAAAATGATGTGTTTAAAATGAAGGTTTTCAGGGTGAGACCTTACTAGGACCCGTTTACACGGACCACATGTGGTGTGTACATGGAGCCGCAGAAATCCCCCGAGTCCGCTCTAGTTGCCATGCCAGGTCATAAGGTGATGATCTGAATTTTGTACCTCCACCTAATGCACATGCGCGCTGGCACTTGAACCAAACCATTGTATATCCATCCATCCATCCATTATCTTCACCCGCTTCTTCCTTTTCAGGTCACGGGGGTCACTGGTGCCCATATCCAGCCATCACTGTGCCAGAGGCGGGGGACACCCTGGACAGGTCTCCAGTCCATCACAGAGACACATAGAGACAAATGAGACAAACAACCATTCATTATTTCTCTCTCTCGCTCACCTAGGGACAATTTAGAGTCACCAATCAGCCCAACATGCATGTTTTTGGTCTGTGGGAGGAAACTGGAGTACCTGGAGAAAACCCACACATGCACGGAGAGAACATGCAAATTCCACCCAGGAAGACCCCTGGCCAGGATTTGAACCACGGTAACCTGCTCACTGAGAGGTGGCAGCTCTATATCCACCGTGCTGTCCCTGTGTAGAATGTAAATATTTATTCGGAGAGTGGAATTCATGGCTAGCAGAAAAAGCTTTTTGTGGATTGATGATGAGGTCAGTTTATTGCTTAATGTAACTTTAAGTAAAAGCACTATGTTATACTCCAACGCCATTGTTGTTGATAGACGTATGCCGTTTGGCCGTGCATGCGTGTAGTGCACGTGTGTGACTTCACACTTGCAGAGCATTTCACACCTCCACGGGGGCTTCCCCTGAAAATCTCCTCTCTGTGACCTGGGTTCAGAAACCTTCGGTTACAGAGAGAACGAGGGCTGCTGTCGTGGATACGAACGACCGAACCGCAGCAGAAAAGCTGAGCAGTCACTCACAAATTGCATCGTGTAAACGGAGCAGCCACAGCTACTTCTGATCACCTGCCAGTGAAGGCACCAACGTCCTTACCCATCTCTATGGGATTTAGCTTGATTACTATTTCTTTATGTTCTGTGTTCCTCTGTTTGCTACTTAGTTCTGCAACATTCTGTTTACAGCCAGCTGTGATTCCCTTCATTGTATTCCATGTTTCCCCACAATAAATATTTTGTAAGTAGTTTCTCTTCCTTGTCAACCCTTTGTTTTATTAACAAGTCAGACTTTATTTACTTCAAGTTCTTGAGTCTTGTCGGTTCAATTCTCTCCAAAATCATGTCAGAAGTAGCCGAGACTGATCCCCAGCACATGCTCTGAGCATCAACGCACGAGATTTGTTTAAAATTTGCCATTTGGGGTCAACTTTGACTGTTAGTAAAATATGTAATGCACTACTGAATGAATTTTGATTACACTTTAAAGAAAGAAAGAAATGTTTTATGTACATCTACAATGGATTAACTTTTGGAGTCGATCCAATTCAAGATGGCCACTTAGAAAACACAAAAAATAGCTATAATCTAGTCAGTTCTACAAATATGTCTTCTACTTCTTCTATAATTCATCTATAACAGAAATAAGTATTAAAGTTATACCAAAAACCATAATGTTACAGCACAGATAAAAGCAACCGTAAAACCTGTGACTCAGACGTCGCACATTCTTCTCTGTCAATAGTTTACACAAAAACAATCCAACCTCTGAGCCTTCCTCCCAGAATGAAGACTTCCTGCTTCGTTGCCAGATTGTCTGAGTCCTCTGAAGAGCGCGACTTGTCTCTGAATGAAACTCGCAGCCTCTTTTATCCGCCTTTGACAGTAGTTTAAGAGTTTCATTCAAGCATAATTCCAGTGGCGCTCAGCAGACAGCCACTGTGTCTGTCGACAGCTTGTCCGGATCTGAGAGAGCATCCGAGGACCAGTACGATCCACTAAATCAAAAACGTCCGTTGTTTTTGTTCAAAGTAACTCAGACTGAAAGCCAGACGTTGTGATAAAATACAGTGTAACGACGTAAAGCTGTCTGTTCTCTGTACACAGGAATCATACAGAGAATCATAAAATATATGAAATGTTTTATTGCTCTCTGTTTATCGTATGCTACTGCTAGTTTTAGCTACCATCCTGCTACTTCTATTTGCAAACAGTTTTTGCTACTTTGACTAGCCTTTTCATAATTTTAGTGTTTTTGCTAGTTTTAGTTTTTATTTAGCACGTTTTTTTTTTTGTTCCCTACTATAAGCTAGCATTTTGTTAGTTTTGCTTTGAATTAGCTTTTTGCTACTTTCAGCCTTGGATAGCCGTTTGATAATTGCATCATTTTGCTTGTTTTTGCTACATTTAGCTTTTGGCTAGGTAGTATCTTGCTACTTTTGGCTTTGAGCTAATGTTTTGCTCATTTTAACGTTGAGCTCATGTTCTGCTTCCTTTAGCTCCTTGCTAGTGTTTCTAGTGTTTTATTTTCGGCTAATTCAGCAGATTTCAGCAAAGCTTTTCAGCCCTCAGCATTCTCTCGTGCTAATTTTAAAACCACTGTGGTGGTGAGGACTGTGCTTTGACAGAATGAAGTGAATCCTGTTTCACCCTCTTTTGAATCATGTACAGGGAGTGGTGGTGCAGTGGTTAGAGAAGGTGGGCCTGTGATTGGAAGGTCGGCGGTTCAACTCCCAGTACCGACAACATCAAAATGTGGGTGGAAAAGGTGAAGCACCCACACCTGCCTCCACCCTCATTTGTCTTACTCTGGGGGCCCTTGAGCAAGGCCCCTAACGCCCACCATCTGCTCCCAAACTTGAAAATGAGTCCTCATGACTCAGCGAGACTACCTGTATAAATAAAAAGTGCAGCATTTTAACTCTGGCTCCCTGAATGCTATTCTTTGTGTTTTTGTGCCTGACTCAAACGGTGGGGGCTGTCTACGACCTTGAGATGCCCCAGCGTCCCGGTAAGGACCACTCACTCGTCTCCCGACCAGTCAAAAACAGCAACACCTGCGTCTCCTGGGAAACGCAAGATTTACAAGAAAATACAACTCGTTGCCGTTAGAGGTGAAATCACAACTCTGCTCTCCTGAGACGTGTGCGCTAAAAGCTCCTCCTGCGCCACACTTTACTCTGGCCCACTTACACTGACTGACGAACTGGTATTTGTGTATGTGTGTGTGTGTGTGTGTGGGTGTGTGTGTGCGTGTGTGTGTGTGTGTGAGAGAGAGAGAGAGAGAATGAAGAGCTGCTCTCCAGATTTATAGTCTGGGACAACCTAAAAGCGTCTTCCCCCTCGTTCAGATCTGCTGGTGTGGTCTTACCAGGCCGATCAGGTACGGACTTCCTGCGTCACCCAGCAGGTGAGAGGTGAAGCTCTGGAAGGCGACCGCCGTTGCTCTCCGCGTGGGAACGACGACGAACTGCAAAAAGACAGAAAGAAAGGAAAAGTTGAAAAGAAGGAAAAATTTTCAAGGTGGTAAAATAGAGGAGTCTCCCATTACCATCATTTTTGGGTCTGTCTGTGTGTTTGTTTATCTGTTAGCAAAATAACTCAAAAATCACAGATTTAATTGAAAATGGCAAAGTAATCACTGGATGTACACGGCCGATAAAAAGCATTCAACCCCATGGATGTTTTATGTTTTTTTAAGACCTTAATTGTTGGTATTTTTATATTCTCTGTAATATTTTTATATCTTGTGTGATTCCTTTGAAACTCTGGCACAACAATTTCCTGCAGGATCAGTAAAGTTCTATCTTATCTTTATTGCTGTCATAAATCAGTCGTGGTCAATATAATTTGGCCTTCTTTACAAAAAAACAAAACATTAAAAACCTTCAATTTGAAAGAAATTAAAATCTGTACAGGGTAATACAAATTAAATTAAAATATAAATGTAAAACGTTCACTTCCTTTAAAGTGACCGTCCGAATCCAACTCCGAGCAAAGATAATTGAAAAGTTTAAGTCAGGGGGTGGATCCAAAAGGATTTCCAAGGCCTGAATCCGCCCCCAGAGTTTTGTTTAATCCACCTTTAAGAAATGGAAGGAAAATGGGACATGTGTAAATCTACCAAGAGCAGGCTGTCCTCACACACTGAGTGACCGTGCAAGAAGGAAACTAGTGAGGGACCATCAACCTGTGAGCACTCTTCTGAAGGAGTCACAACCTTCAGCAGGTGTGATGGGAGATACTGCGCATACAACCACTGTTGCCAGAGTTCCTCCACCGTGTCAAATGAAAGAGAGTGGCAAAGGGGAAGACAGTTTAGATCTAGACTGAATAATTTAGTCAGTTTTCAGCAGAAGTGGGTTGTCATTTAAAACTGTGACATGAAATATGACCAGCAATAAGCATTCTTTCAAGGAATGCTGGTCCTTTAGTTTAAAGGAAGTGAGGCGAGCCCACCTGGTTGGGTGAGGATGCCCCAGGCAGACCTGTCACAGTTAGTGATGGCCTGTCTGTGTTTTTACATACCACAGTCTCCAAACTTAAAAAAAAAAAATAAAGTTCATAGGACTTCTGACATGCATCGGGGTCAGTTTCCCTTAATTCATTTCTATAAAAATCAAGAGAATTAATCTAAAACAACAGTCACCTCCATCCTAAATGCAGCCTTCCTCGTCTACTCACCCATTTTCCAACTTAATGATTAGTTTAAATCTGGGCTCTGCAACCTGCAGCTCTTTGGTTCCTCTCCAAGTTTTGACCAAAACTAACATAAAACTGAAGTTTATTGGTTGTTGTACCAACAACAAGAAATGGCTCGTTTTAGCAGTATTCCTGTCGTTTCTTTTGCCAACACGTGAACGATAGATAGTACGGTACTAACACAAGCAGTAAAACATGTCGACTACATCATGCTAGTAGTTTGTTAGCCGCTTCTTTTAGCTCACGTCCAGTCTTACGGTGTGACCTTTAAATCAAATCCACCAAAAGTAGGGTTTTTTTTGGGGGGGGGGGGGGGGGGTTACATTAAAGCAAGTTACTGAGAAGAAATATGGTGAGTCAACTTGATAACAATAAAAATTAAAGAAGAAAAAAAAAACGAGTAAATGGAAACATTTGTCTTCATTTAAAAATTCAATTACGTATCCAACAAACTGGCCTAATTTTCAACTTTATGCTTTTATTACATCATAATAGGACACTTTATGAATTGTTTCCACAATTAAAAAGAAAACTCACATAAGCCTGCATACTGGTGTTTGGATTTTTATAAAATTTGTAATATATATATATTTTTTTCTTCTTTACATAAATCCAGTCTTTTCTTTTGCCCTGAATTATTAAAATATCATTAAATATTAATAATAATTTTATATTTTAGTTTCGTAATATCACACCTACTGGCCAGAAAAGCCTCCTCCAACTGGCTCCAAGTTGGCCACCAGTTGATAGTAGCAGGTTTTGTGGCTCCATACACATTTTATTTAGTGTTCAAAGAGGCAGAAATGGCTGTTTTGATCATAAAGTCTGCAGACCCCTGGTCTCAATGAATCACCTCCATTTGGGAAGAGTGAGTTCTCTGCTTACCATTAACATGTCTGCTGTTATGGCCCAGTTCACGAAAAGCAGCGTCTCTCCGATGAAGATGCAAACCTAACGAAAGGAGATGAGATTTCACAGTCAGAAGTGCTGACAACGAGCAAGATCCTTTCCACAGAGTCGACTCCAAGTCAGATTAGGAACTTGGAAGCCGTTCCATGGAAGCTACGGCTTAAAGACGGTGCTTTGGTTGGAGCGTTTCAAAAACATGTCATTACATTGTGGCCAAGTTATATAGAAGTGCAGGCCTTCACTGAGCCCAGAGCAGCATGACAACAATAGTTTATTCATGTCCGAGACGTTCGATGTGGAAAACATTTTGCAGCGTTTCACAATATGAATTTATGTGCGTGTGTGTGTGGGTGGAGTAGAAAATGTCTGTAAATAACTTCATGTAGCGCACTGTGTGAGCATGGGCTGCTGGCAGCTGCTATTTTCTGAAAAACACACCTAGAGGGATTAGTTTACAGTGGAATGTCATGTATCTGTACCGGCTGGTTTCATCTAAAACCCTTTCAGCACGGCTGACCGATGCGTTTCCTGCTGGGGATGAAACCCCCACGCCTCCCGTCAGAGTGCCAGAACTGCAGAGGGCTGCAGCGGGGGGTTGACAGCCGAGATGCAGACCTGATCCGAGCGCTGCGACGCAGACACTGTGACCGACATGCTGCCTCGTAGAAGAAAGAGGTCGCCGCCTTCCCTCAGATTAGCTACGTGTTGAGGAGACAACAGCTGTGGCGGGTCGATCTGCCCCGATAGAGCCGCACCGACTGCTGCAACCGTGTCACGCCTTATAATGTGACACATCTGTCAGCTATTTGCAACGAAACCCGAGCTGCTCACTTACCACTGCGGCTGTGTAAGATGATTTAATACGATACAAAAGAGACGCGACGGAGGAAACAGTGCCACATGTTACAGCCTGCCTTCCTAAACTGCTGCACGGAGAACTGAGCTCCACATAAACAAACGTGAAACTTTTAGCAGGATTGGATTCACACCAGAGGAGTCATGCTGAACAAATTCTGCACAGCAGCAACTGTGTGAAATCGAGTTGGACAGATGAAATGAACGTGGATACTTCCACAGCTCAGGTCTAATTGGTCGAGTCATGCACCTGGTCAACGTGCACCTTTGACCTGATGAAGTTCATTTAACTCACACTTTGGAAAATCCCAATCAGTTTTCATTCCAGTGATTAGCTGGGATCTGGTGGCACGGTGGCGCAGTCGGTAGAGCTGTTGCCGCTCAGCGAGAAGGTCACCGGTTCAAATCCCGGTTGGGACTTTTCTGGGTGGAGTTTGCATGTTCTCTCCGTGCATGTGTGGGTTTTCATCCGGGTACTATGGTTTCCTCCCACAGACCAAAAACATGCATGTTAGTCTGACTGGTAATAATAATGTTTTATTACAGTATGTGTTGTCATCATTGCATGTTTCCATACAATAGCGAAATTGACTCTCTGCATTTAACACATCCACGCCCAGGTGGTGCAGTGGGCTGCTATTGAAAGCACCCGGGGAGCATTTGGGGATAGGGTGTACTGCTCAGAGACACCAAGAGATGTGCAGTGACTGGGGATCAAGCCTGGGACTTTTGGGTCACGAGTCAGAAAAGGAAGAAGCTGGTAAAGATAATGGATGGATGGGATCTGGGAAGTGTTGAACCCAGCTCTTGTTTACTGGAAGCAGTGGCTATTGTCAGGGGTCGTTGGCTTCGGTGCAAAAGTTTTGAAGTTGTGAAAGCTTTTGCTTTCTGTGATTGGTTTGAAAGAGGAGCTAACAGCAGATAACACAGTAAAGACCACTGCTGCTGTTTGAAAATACAACTCTACAGTTCATCTTAACTGTGTGCCAACCTTTACACCCCGTTAAGTTAGCATTACACAAGTTCAAGTTCAAGTGGAAGTGCCCCAAGCTGCACCAGAAGTGTTACAGCTAGCTGCTGCTGTCACTATTTGCATTTGCAGTTAACAAAATGTAAGTAATAGACATTTTTAAAACATATATTGGCATACTGAATCCATTTTTGTTTACATTTTTATACATGTGTGGGAAAATATTGTTCAGATTATGACTTTATTTCCCAATATTTTTCTGTCACAGACAAAAGAAAGGAAAGAAACACGCTTGGTTGGTCCAAAAGTCCAACGCGTATTGTTTTGAGGCGGAGGTTGTGGAGCGGCACCCTTTCCTGCCTTCCAAGAGCTCTTTATTAGCTTCCTGACTTGTAGCCAAAGAAGGTGTGAACAGCAGCTACCTGCAGCAGCCTCTGAGGTCATTTTAATCTAATCTGAGATTAAAGCTGTAACTAAAGTGAGCAGCACCCTTTTATTGCCCTGGGGGCTGAGAAGAACTGTCGCCGTGACTCAGATGAAACACACTCGGGTTAGCAGGAGGTGAAGCTTACGTAAGCTCCGTAAATGTTCTTCTTGGCCACCACGAAGATGAGGCAGATGAAGATGGCTGAGCCCAGCATGGTGACAGCGCACACCAGCGGGTCCGCCCGGTTTGTCTTCTTGCGGCAGACGCGAGTGGTGGCGAACCCGATGACCACGCCCAACAGCCCCGTCACGCAGGTGATGGTCCCGAAGATGAAGCTGCAGGGAGCGGTCGTTTGGTTTAGATATGCTCTGACGGGTGAAGAGGCTTCTCGAGTCAGAATGAGCGCTCACCTGTCTGTGCTGCGGCAAACTCCCGACACGCAGGGGTCGGTCAACTTCTGCACCACCTGAGCTCGAACCAGGTAGATGGGCATCCACATCCCGAACGCTCCTGTGGCAAAGGACACAGCTGCCGACGCCACGGAGGAGAACACGTAGCTCCGGCTAGCCACAAAGAAACAGAATCAGTGTGACTGTTATCAGTTGCACATCCTCAAACATTTTAATTTATTATAACTCGGACAAACAATCCAGAAGACGATGCTCTGCAAACGCCTGACTGAAGCAGCTTTGATGCTAAATGGAAGATGTGCAGCTCAGCCTCACAGTTTTCATGTGACCAAAATAACTCAGTTTGGCTCCTTCTGTGCTTCCACGGGTGAATGTGGTGATTTTTGCCACAATGTGAAGAAAATGTGGTGACTCACTGAAATCAGTTCTGATGCAGCCCACTTTGAAGGCTTGGAAAAGTCAGATTTGGGCCTGTTGGTATCAAATGTTTGGGGAGGGGGGTTCAAAGAGGGTGCACAGATCTGTGCTAGGAAGAGTTTCATGTGATGTTGGTTCCTACAACAAACTAACTTTACTAAAGTCACGTTTTAAAAGCACTTCAAAGTGTCCCCTGAGCAGGACAGTGGAGTCTCTAGTTTTAAAGCTGTCCCTCTGTGGAGCGTGTCAGGTGTGGATGTTTTACACTCTGTCTAATGAAACCTGAGAGAAAGTTGCTGCTAATGTTTAACTGTCTTGTTCAGAATATGACCTAGTTCACTTGCTCTCTCTCCTGATGAAAAGAACCTGCAGGAATTGCATCGACAACAATGTGGGCCAGAATGTTCATACCGTTAAACTGGAAATCTGCACCTCCACCAGCATTAACAAACTGGATAAAGAAGATCTTTCATTTTGTTGAACTGGAAAAAAAATCAGTCTGACCAACTACCAGTACTAAATCTGGATCTATAGATTTATATAGATCTATGGATCTGCGGATCTATTATCTATGGATCTGTGTATATAGATAGATCTATGGATCTATAGAGCTATAGATCTATGAATCTATGGATCTTGATCTATAGATATATTATCAATGATCTATGGATATATAGATAGATATATGGATCT